AACATGTCAAGTGCAGGGCGAAGGCTGCGGGCTGTTTGCATTGGCAGCTGTTCTGTGCAGCGGCAGAGGACTCAGCTGGGCTGTTGGGGTGACTCAGTGACGGGGCTGGAGGGTAGGAAGCATTGGATAGCTTGGGAACCCTCCCCTCCATCTGTCCAAGCTCTGCTGTGGGTTAGTTAAGCTACACAGAGATTCAAAATGAGCTTGGAGTGTTAAACCCCCAGGCTACGTCTACACTGGCACCCTTTACCGGAAATGCTTAAAACGGAACAGTTTTCCATTATAAGTATTTCCGGAAAAAGCGCGTCTACATTGGCAGGATGCTTTTCTGGAAAAGCACTTTTTCCGGAAAAGCATCCGTGGCCAATGTAGATGCGCTTTTCTGCAAAAAAGCCCCGATTGTCATTTTCGCGATCGGGGCTTTTTTGCGGAAAAGACTACTGTGCTGTCTACACTGGCCCTTTTCCGGAACAGTTTTTCCGGAAAAAGACTTTTGCCCGAACGGAAGCAGCATAGTTTTTCAGGAAAAACACTGACAATTTTACAGTAGATCGTCATTGCTTTTCCGGAAAAGCAAGTGGCCAGTGTAGACAGCTGGCAAGTTATTCCAGAAAAGTGGCTGCTTTTCCGGAATAAGTGGCCCAGTGTAGACACAGCCCCAATGCCCCAAGTCAGGATTTCTAGTGGGTCCCATGGAAATATAGTCCACAAATGTATTTTCAAAGGTTTTATTCTCTTGTTTGATTGTGAAGACAGGGACTCAGATTTGTACTGCTCTGTGGTAACAGATCCACTAAGGCAGATTTCTGTTTCCTAACTCAGGACACCAGCATTTCTGCCTTGTAGATCCCCCTCAGAGGTACCCTAGCTGTATCTCTGCCCCTCCCTCATCTACAAGTGCCTGATGTCAGGCCTTGTATCCCTGGATCCTCCAACCGTCAGACCTGGCTCTGGGCTACAGCACGCTGCAGGTCGCCTCTGCTTTTCCAGTTTGTCCGGGTGGGATCAACACCTGTGATTCTACCTTCTGGGAGGCTGTGACTAGTGGTGACGAGTGACCAGCCAGCCCTCTTGAACCAATATGCTGTTTCACAGGAAAATCATGAATAATGCGTAACATGGGAGACTAAGAGAGTTTTTTTAGCAAGAGTCTGTACTTATGTTTGAGCCCCACTCTTCTCACTCTGACAGGGCCCCAGGCAGGCCGACGGCCTTCAGACTTCCCCAGCTGTGTCTGTGCCTGTCGGTCTGAAGAGCTTCTCAGCAACAGCTGTCCCCCCTCTGGGCAGACTCCCAACACTGGCAGAACAAGCTGGGTAACGTGGCTGGAGACTGCAAACAGGCTCTTCCCAGCTTGTAGCTCCGGTCTGGTCTCTTGCCTCCCTGAGGTACTCACAGAGCAACAGCTTTTCTTGAGCTGTTGTTCCCCTTCCTGCTTGTTTTCCAGCAGCCTGCTCTTCAACTAAGAAGAACCAGACTGGTTTAACCCAGTAAAGCCACATCACCTCAACATCCCAATAATTAACCTAGCAAACATCCCTGGAACCGGGTTTAACAGACACATTCAGTATGACAGCTCATCTCCATTTCTATCCCAATGCGGTTCCCGGGTGTTATGAATGTTATGTGTAAAGGACAGCTGCAGGCAAAGAGAGAGAGAGTTGGGGGAGGGGACAGGAGTGGAGGAGAGAGAGAGAGAGGGAGTGCAATGTATTGCTGTCTTGTGGAAATGAAGTTCCATTTCCATGAATTCTCAGGCATTTGACTTTGAAACCAACTTCCTGCAAACCCTCGTCATGCCTGAAGAACAGGTGCTGGGGTGACTGTGGAGTAGCGAGTAAGAGCTCAGGGGATAAATATGTTTAAACTGCTCCCAATGCCTGTTACCACTCTGAATACAGGCGACAGGCAGACAGAACAGAACCTGAGGGAAAATAATCAGGATCAAAGGAGACACTAGACTTTAGTTTGATGACAAATGGGTTTTCAATGAATGAGGAAATTCTGAGGACAGATGCTACATTTTAGGTCAATCCCTAACCAGAGAAATCATCTCTGAAAGAAGATCAGACTGAGAAGACTGGGTTGACACGTGTGTACTAAAGTACAGCTGTGTAAATGCTCTGTCAAAACTTTTCATTGTATTACAAACCAAACTTGCAAGCCATGAGTGTCTATGGAAGGGCAGCAACTGTGTTATTGGAATCTCTACAAGAAGGAGCAGGGGTAACTGTATTATAAAATATTTGTTTTATACAATAATAGATTTATCCCAGTGTTGCTCGGGTCCGCAACTCAAATATGTTTTGTTTTTCTTCATTTAAATCATTGTTCTGGGGTGGGGCTGGAGATGAAGGGTCCAGGATGCAGGTTGTCTCAAGGAATGAAAACACTCCCAGCTTTGTCTCACTGCAGCAGCTTGGGGCCAGGTGAGAAGCCCTTCTCCGTGGCCACTGCAGCTGTAGGGAACACAGCCAGGGGAGGGGTGCATGTCCCCCAGCTGGGGGGATAGACAGTGGCGGCCCGTCCATAGGCGCGAACTAGGCGGTTGCTTAGGGCGCCAAATTAAACGGCCATTGAAGGGTTTGGAGGTGGGGGTGCCAATCGCGCATTTCGCCTACAGCACCAGTTGCTGGCAGCTCATCCTCAGCCACTCCTGGGGATAAACAGACAAGCTGACACACAGACAGACAAGCTCTTTGAAATATATATAGTAGATAGCTGTCCCTTTCTCCATCTCTGCCCCCTGCTGGCCCAATGGGGTTATCACTGTCCTGGTCCCCATCTCTGGCCCCCCCCATGGTCATTCTAGAGTATAATGACCAGAATCCCTACCAGATCCCTCCCTTTCTATTTTATGAGAAACAATCGAATTCCAGGCACATCCCATTGTCCTGGCACAACCAAATGCTTCCCTTGCTTTAAGTTATGATAAGAGGAAGTTGTATACCAAATGCGGTGGAACTAGCTCTGACCTCTTAGGAGGAACAAATGGACTCACGGGTGCATGAACAGACAGACAGACAGGCACACATTTCTAAAATATATAGCAAGATTTCAGAAGTACTCCAAATACTGTTTGCAATGGGGTTGTGCTATTAACTTTTCATGCAAGGAACAGTTGTCTGAGACTGTCTCCTCTTAACTGACTGGAAGCTGTTTCTAACACTTGCTTTCAGGGTCATGAATGCGCTGCTTCTGCAACACCTGTGCAAGACTTCCCAAAATGTCCCGGGAGAGCAGAACTTCAGAGGATTCAGGTCTCGTAAGCATGAAGAGAATCCTGTAGAGTGAGCCACCTCTCTGGATTCAGACAGCACTAGCAAGGCCAAGCATTCCATTTCTCTGGCCGGAAATCTTGAAGGTGTGTGTATTACCCGGAGTATTTCGTAGTTTAAAGTTAATAGACTCCAGTTCTGATGGAATTTACACGTGTCAATTGGGAGTGATGCCATAGAAATCAATGTAATCAAATTATGAACCTTTCCCTAAGAATTTATCCCATCAACTGAAAAGAGACAGTATAATATGAAGTGGCCAGAAGAAAAGTATATATATAGGGCTCGACAAATACGCTTATCTCCTCGCCCATGGTGAGTAGATTTCAGCCGATCGCCCCGTTCACTGGCAGTCCATGCATGCGCAGTGTGGGTCTCGCGCATGTGTGGTGCGGGGCTGACGAGTGGTTTTTGCCGTGATCGTCGAGCCCTATATATATACGTATATATATAAAACGAGGCAGTGAAATACATTTATAAATAGCTCCCAAGCACAACAGGTAAATCTAATGACAGTTTTCATGACACATTTCTCATATGCTTACACATATGTCCTGACATAATGGGCTACACAGAGGTGGAGAGTGGGAAAAGGTGTTTGTGAGAATGTCACAGTTTTACATTGCTAAATTAGACTGAGGAACTCCCAGCCACAAGATGTCAATGGGGCCAAGTATGATGGGCTGTCATATGACATGCTGAAGATACCACTGAGCCACTGTGTCTATTAGCCTGGGCACCGTTAGCCCTCTCTTGCTGAGTCAGACTTAAGGGCCACACCCAACTGCAGAACCATACACACACTGGGACCAGCTCTGTAAGGGCTCGGCTGCAGGGACTTGCCACAGCTCTCAGATGTCCACTTCCCTTGGAGTACAAATCCAAGATTATATAAAATTCCCCACCTCTCTCCATGTGGAGGAAGTGATGCACAGCTTCCTCCAGTTAGAAATGACAGAAATTGGGTTATATTATAAATAAGGAATAAGTTTATTAACTGCCACAAGGTGTATTTAAGTGGTTACAGAGGTAGAAAAGGGAAGAAAGAAAATTGTTAAGAAAACAAAATAAAGCAGATGCTTTTGCGGAAAAACTTGCCAGCTGTCTACACTGGCCACTTGAATTTCCGCAGGAGCACTAACTTTGTAATGTACAAAATCAGTGCTTCTTGCGGAAATACTATGCTCCTCCCATTGGGGCAAAAGTCCCTTGCGCAAAAGCTTTTGCGCAAAAGGGCCAGTGTAGACAGCTCAGATTTGTTTTGCGCAAAAAAGCCCCGATCGCGAAAATGGCGATCGGGGCTTTTTTGCGCAAAAGTGCATCTAGATTGGCACGGACGCTTTTCTGCAAAAAGTGCTTTTGCGGAAAAGCATCCTGCCAATCTAGACGCGCTTTTCCGAAAATGCTTTTAACGGAAAACTTTTCTGTTAAAAGCATTTGCAGAAAATCATGCCAATCTAGATGTACCCCAGGAGTTTAGCAGGCTTCAAAAAGGGCTGGATGTTTATATGGTAACAGAAAATCCAGTTATTGAACCAGTCTGACAATACCTATCTTCCTATGGGTGGTGCAAATCCAAGACCGTATTCATCTTGATCTTTCTTGAACTCCTGGGATTCGCTCAACTTGCACTCAGAGCAGAGAGTGTATCTCTAAATGCCATCTAGTTGCTCTTTTTCCTTTCAGGAGGGAACTAAACCCACCAGGCCTACCCAGCATACTATGTCAGCTATTAACGATACCAGATTCCAGTCTGCAGTGTTCCTTCTCACCGGGATACCTGGGAAGGAAGACGTCCATCTCTGGATCTCTATCCCCTTTTGCATAATGTATGCTATTGCAATAGTAGGAAATTCATTCATTCTGTTCATTATAAAAGCAGATCCAAGCCTCCACGAGCCCATGTACATTTTCCTTTTCGTGTTGGCCCTCACCGACCTTTCCTTATCGATATCCACCATGCCCACGACGTTGGGCATATTCTTGTTGAACTTTAGGGAGATTAGCTTTGATGCCTGTTTTGCCCAGGTGTTCTTCATCCACACACTGGAATGCATTGAATCCTCTGTGCTTTTGCTGATGGCCTTTGACCGCCTCATCGCAATCCGTGATCCACTGAGATACGCTTCCATCTTAACCCTGCCAAAAATAGTCAAGATGGGGCTGGTGTGTGTGCTTAGAGGGGCGGCTGTCATACTTCCACTCCCCATTCTCTTGAAAATGTTCCGATACTGTCGAGACAACGTCCTCTCCCATTCCTACTGCCTGCACCAGGAGGTCATGACGATGGCTTGTTCGGATTTTAGAGTTAATAGTGTCTATGGCTTATCGGTTGCACTCTTAACTGTGGGGTTGGACTCGCTGCTTATCTTTCTCTCTTATGTGATGATCCTCAAAACGGTGCTGAGCGTCACCACCTGCGTCTCCCATCTCTGTGCCCTCTTGCTCTTCTACATACCTGAGATTGGTTTGTCTGTGATACACAGATTCGGGAGTAGCTCTTCTCACTTGCTTCAGGTTCTCTTTGGATATGTCTACCTACTCATCCCACCCCTGATGAACCCAATCGTGTACAGTGTGAAAAGCAAACACCTGCGTGAGAGGATCATCCGGGTGTTTGCCAAGTGAAGGATCCGTTCACCCCCCGGTTCCAATGGTGGTGAGATGGAAGACAGAAAGACAACCACATACTCCTGCTCCATCTTGGATCCTTACATCAAAGAGGACATGAGCTGCTGATCTCCACTCTGGAGAGGGAGGTTCCGATGGGGTCAAAAGCCTGCAGTGATGGGAGAGGAAGGGCAAAGCAATGAGGGAAGGAGACAGCAGCATTTAAAAATAAATCTGACTGAGGACAACCAATGGATCTAGAGGAATATTGGCTCACAAAAAGATGTCCAACCTCAGAATTCCTGTCAATACAAACAATAAAGAGAAGGGGTGTGGCTGTTGTTTCCCCTGCCACCTGGCCTGTCTCTGCTTAAACAAGTACGGGGAAAGAAAAAGCAGCAGGGCTGTTCTGTTGTCACAATCCTGGTCCTTCCTGAGCCCTCTGGGTGCTGCGTGATCCATGGGGCTGCACCAGCTGTGGGCTGCGACTACTCAAGGGCACAGCTGCCCGCCCTTGCCCTATGCTGGTGAGTGACTGACTCATGACAGGGATGTGATTAACACCGGAGCCCCAAAGGGAGCCCTTTAGACAGCCCCTCTCCTGGTGATGGCTTGGCACACAGCACACCAGGCACTCCCCACTGAAGCAGGGCAGAGCTGTGTGTGAGGGAGGGCCTGAAGCACAGGAGTCCTACAGGGAGCTCAGGTCCAGATTCCCTCATCTTCCTCCCCTCTGTGCTGCCCCAGCTGCTTTGAGAGGGTTAGAACTGGACCTCATTTCTCTGACAGAACCACGGGTCACTCCTATCCCGGCCCAGCTCACTCAGTTGGGTGACCAACTTTTCAAAAGGTAAAAGGACAAAGTCCCTTCCCTTCTGTGACCCCTCCCCATTCTTCTCTCTTGGGCTCCCGCCCTCTGCTCCTCCCCTTTATCTGAACCCCCCTCCTCTGCTTCATCTCTTCCCACAAAGCTCCACCTCCTGCTTCTCCTCATTACCCAAGGCCCCAACCACTCCCCAGGGCAGATGTGGGAGTAGGACTGTGGAAAGAGGTGCCCAGGAAGCCAGAGCCACTGTGAGGAGCCCCAGAGCCTCCATCTGTTCTGGCCAATGGGCTTCGTGTTTGACTAGAAGAACCAAACCTGTCTCCCTGCCCCCAGGGTGCAACCCATTGGTACGGTGGAGCATTCAAAACTCGCCACAGCAGCCTGGACTCCCTGGGTAGAGCTCGCCACCGTCCATTTCTGGCCTGGTGGAGAAGCACAGCCTCGGGGGAAGTGGAGGAGCCAAGGGGCTGGACTAGTGGGAAGGGATGGATCGGAGGTGGGGCTTCCAGGGACAAGGTGGAACCTAGGTTTTGTCAACCCTCAACCAATGCTGATTCCAGCAGGGAAGTCAGTGGGGGGCTCTTGTGTGAAGGAGGAGGATGGGGCTGGAGGGTTGGAGAGTTGGTGCTTTGGAGGAGACCGCATTCATGTGGGGCCCCAAAGATGGCTCTTGTTTTATGTATCCCAGGCTAGAGAGGACCTTAGACAGGGTGCCTGCAGGGCTATGTCAGGCCCCAATGTGAGTCTTCGGGTTGCTCCCTGTTGGCAGAGACTGGACCACAGTGATCTGTGCTATTGAAAGCCAGTACAAATGGGTGGAGCTTAGCCCAGCTCCCAGGCTGCTCTAGGACAGGAGGGATCAGGGAATCAAACCCCGTAAGTGGCTCCTTTCCATCCTTCTCCCTAAGCACAGGGGGGAACTCTACTGGCATAGCAAAGAATCCAGCCAGGCCGGTCACAGCTCAGAGAGCTGGATTGCTGGTCCCATGGTCTGGGTACTGCCCTGTTACTCAAGACAGCTGGGTTTGATTCTACTGCCCTGTATGACTATGGGCAAGCCACTGGCTGTCTGTGAGTCTCTGCACAGGTGTGTAAGAGCCCTGTCCTGCCTCACAGTGGTGGCAGGAGGATAAATACACTCAAGGTGCTTGGATACTCTATGCTCAGGGCTATGTTGGGGTTCCACAGAGCAAAACCTCTGATATTTCCTATAAAAGGCCTTTTACCACAGCCTTCTATGGCAGCTGACTTCTGGTTCTGGGAAGCCCCGTGACTCCCTCCCCGTGGTGTGTGGGGGGGGCTCGGGGATGACAGTGAGGGGTGGGCCGTGGATTTCTGAGGGGAGCACTGGAGAGTCACAGGAATGACAAGAGCTTCAGTACAGTCACTGGATGTGTGTGTGCAAAGTGTGGCTGGGAGAAAGCAGCCCAAGGGCAAAGGTCACCTTGGTCTGTAACACGAATTCGACTTAGCACTCCGATGACTGGGCCCAGGCAAGCTTCACAGAAGTCGACCAAAAAGCAGAGAAGCATCTGAGGACCAAATCTGTCTGGAGGAATCAGGTTGTCTAGTTATTCACTGCTGAGGGTAAAAGGTGGGCAGTTTTTTCCACCCAACGCCTTCTTACGCTCCCCCAAATACATTCCACACCCCTACTAGGGGGGCAGCCCCCAGTTTGAGAAACTCCAGACAAAATCTTCTAATGGCTCCTTCTGGCCTTAAATTCTATGACTCTATGACTGATTGTCTTGAGCGGATCATTGTCTCGGATGCAGCTTTAACAAGTTGCTCCTCTGAATGCTGATAGGCATGTGAACATGCTAGGTAGTGCCAGGTAGAATTGTGAATTACACCTGTGTATATGGTGTATTTACTCTCTAAGGGTATGTCTACACTACAGTGCTAATTCGAACTAACTTAGTTCGAATTAGTTAATTCGAACTAAGCTAATTCGAACTAATGCATCTAGATCTAAAAACTAGTTTGAATTAGCGTTTTGCTAATTCGAACTAGCGCGTCCACATTAAGTGGACCCTGAACCGGGGTTTAGGATGGCCGGAAGCAGTGCCGGCAGGGCATCAGAGGAAGACATAGAGCATGGAGATGCTGTCTCAGGCTAGCCGAGGGCTGTGCTTAAAGGGTCCCGACCCCCACCCCGGACAGACAGTTCTCAGGGGTGCCCCGCTTGCAAAGCAGTCCTGGCTTGGATTGCCC